GGGGGGATACACAGGCACCGCTACGACGCCCGTGGAGAGGCAGGCGAGGAAGGCGATGATGAAGTCGGTGCCGGGTGGGTAGCACAGGATCACCCGGTCACCCAGCTCCAATCCCAGATCCTCGGTGAGATAGGCGCCGAGCCGCTGCACCTTCCTGAAGAGCTCCCTGTATGTCAGCACCTCGGCCGGCTCCCCATTGCCGTCGAGCCATGTGATGGCCGGATGCTGCGGCATCTCATCCGCCCACTTGGCGAGGGCTGTGCCGAATGCCGACGCCCCATAAAGCTGGTGCAGCTGTGAGAGATCATGAGAGATTGGTCGGGGAGGGACCTCCATGGCGCTAATCGATGTGCTGTGAGTGTCGGCCATGCCACGAAGTCCAGAGCGAGCTCAGCGGGGCTGCTCCCGGGCGATGCGGTCTTGCCTGCCGTTTCAAGGGAGTGAGGATAGCCGGCGAGCTCAGCCACGTCGATCTGTGATTAAGATCTATGTAGCGACGTGCTTCAGACCCGCTCACACGTCCACATCTGCATGAGAAGAGAAAACAAGCGTGGCCTGCCTTCCGGTGAGGCTGCCGATGGATCAATTCCATGCGTGCTGACCTCCGAATGCTTCTCTTCGAGCCCACTCATGATGGCCACCCGCATCACCATTTTTCTGCCTCCTTCTCCCCTCAAGCGTTACACGACCAGGCCTACCCGTGCAGCTGTGGCAATTTCGCTTCTGCTTTGAGCTTTGAAGGGCAGTGGAGGCCTGCTGGCGCGTAGGAGTCAGGTGTCGCAGCATCTCTGTCGGCGTCATGTCTGCGAGTCAGCCCATCACGGTCAAGTTCGAGGGCTCTGAGGACACTCTGACCATATCAGAGGCCGTGGCGCAGCAGTACACCTTCTTCCAAGCCGTAAGGAACCGATCATGGCACTGCATGTGCTGCTGGGTGCAAGATCTGACTGCCTTCGTGTGTGTGTTGTGCTGTAGTTGCTGGACGGCGGTTTCCAGGAGCCGGCTGAGCGGACAGTGACGCTCAAGGAAATCTCTAGGCCAATCGCTGCCGTCGTGCTGCAGACGAGGAATGACATGCTCAAAGATATCACGCGAGAGGTACCGATGCACACTGCCGTCTTTCCCTTGTCGCATGCTGCTGTCACTCATTGCGCGTGTGTCTGTGCTAGAATCTGTTGGATTGCTTGTCGGCGTTGGATTTCCTCAATTGTTTGCAAGACGACCGACCGAAACTCATCGACAACGTCGGCAGGAAGGTACAATGGGAGGGAGGGGGAGCGGACATATCTCACTCGATGTATTCCTGTCAGGTGTTGCGCAATCGTTGGCACGATGACCAGGACCTCTGCCGAGCGATGCTCAAAATGGCATTCGACAGACCACTCATCAGGTATGACACACCCAACGTCACAACTCATTCTGTGTTGTTGACTTCCTGAGCCTTGATTGGTTATCAGGTCATTGATTGGTTGGCATTATGACCTGGGCAGAGCCTGCGCCCCCTACCTGGTGGAGAATGCGAAACAAGTGGCCGCCCAGTGGGCGGTCAGCTCATCGGATGCTGATATCGGCATCAGGGCATTCATCATTGGCTTGCTGGGAGACCTCAAACGGCTCATCGACACTAACGCCGGCTCCATGCGACTCGAGACACTCAAACGATTCTGGTGGACGCCACCGCCACATCGAACTTCAACGAGGCGGTGAGTCCGTCCGTCAGAAGAGGGAAAAGGAGGGCTCATCCGCCTCCTTCATCCTGCCCCCCCCCCTCCCCCCGTCTCTCTCTCCCTGGTGTGTATGTGTGCAGGCAGCCGCCTTCTTCGAGTGTGGTCGGCTCTCCAGCGAGCATGGATGCGAGATCGAAGCGCCAGGGAGCGCGGGCTGGACCGACCTCGGTAATCTCCGAGTTCGCTTGCACAGCAGCAGCGAGGCAACCGAAGACTCCGGAGGCGCTTCCTACTACATCCGGCAGGGCGACGTCAACGACACGTCGACCATGCTTCTCAGCAACGTTCGTTCATTCGAGATGAACAGCGCATACGTCCACCAATCGGACTCCCAGAGAGTCTTCTGCTTCTCATTGTCCGTCAAGATGTCCATCGGCGATGGCGGCAATGGCGGCGATGGCGATACTATCACCAACTTCAAGGCCCACCAGCGTGATATTATTCCCTTCATCCGGACTGTTGGGCCCCTCGGCCCTCTGCACATGCTTGTCGATCACGCAGACGGCATGATGGCCACCATCCTGACATCGATCATGGAGGACAGCGGGTGTGATGCGGTGGGGGAGGGAGGGAGGCCCCCCAAGCGACGGAGAGTGGAGGTGTGAGCCACGGACGGACCGACCGATACGTAGATAGATAGTGACAGGTGGTGTTTGGTGAGCGTGTGGACTCAGTCGCCTCGCTGCTGCTGATCAGTGTGTATTGGTAGGGGTTCGTATTTCAGCTGGCTGATTGGTATGTTTTGATGTGCATGGCCAACTGACCGACAGTGGCAGGTGAATTCATCCATGGATCACAGTGGTTGTCCAATGGTGTCTGTGTCTCAATCGATCGATGCTAGCTGGGTGTAGTGCAGACAGACACACAGACACGTCACACACCACTCAAAACCACCACAGCGCCCAGGCAGGCGCGCAGGCAGGTATGAATACGTATCTGTGAACGGCTGGCCTTTCTCGAAGAGGCAACGTGACGGTCTATCCTCGGGAGACACTCAGACTAAGTCACTGAAAAAACAGTTTCTAGAAAGCTGTGCCCTCAGGCGTTTGTGAGTGTGTATGTGCCACCATGTGTGTGTGGATGTAAGTATGGATATCGACAGGACCAAGTGGCTCTTCACACCCGTACATACACACATGGACTGGACCACCATAGCGGCGGGCACTGTTGGATGGGACAAACACACTTAGATGGCCCGGCCCACTATCTATCACACGACCCGTTTCGCCGCCGCCGACAAAAAAGAGTGCAGCACCGCACCGCACTCGTGCCCACCACAGCACAACGCACCCACCCAGGACAGCACACTCCATCTATACATAAAAACACTTTTCCCCCTCTCTTAATTTCCATCCTAAGCAGGCAGTAAGTACGCACGGCGACACACACAGGCGCCGGCGAGCCCTCTCTGTTTACCAAAAGCGTCGTCACCCAAAAGAGTCAAACCGCACAACAATCAACCACCGCATGCGGGTCAGGAAATGACATAGACAGACAGACAGACACACAGACAGACAGACAGACAGACACTGGCGCGCTTCAATGAGGTGCTTCTCTCGTCAGCGAGCCGTCACAAGCGTGCGTCACCTGCAATCCAATCCTCACACACATGCAAGAAATGTGCGCATCGCATGCAATGCACCTAGCTATCCTATTGTCAATAGACGAGGGTAGTAGCAAGTAGGCACGATCCGATCCAGCCAGTGAGTTTCATAGACATACGAGTGCGTCCAGAAGATACACTCTCTCAGGCGACGCCACGGCCGCCACGATCGAATATATGCGGGGCCCACGTACCCTTTATCTATGTACACATACTTTTTTACAAGGGGGGACCAACCAGACACGCATACACACACATACACACGCATACACATACACACACGAAAAACACAACTGACAAAGATAGAGCAGAGCAGAGCAGAGCACGTCGACTCATCGACTGATAGATAAACACTGACATACATATTCACATGACATAACAAAAGACAAGACAAGCTGACACAAGACAATTTAAGACACCACACAAAACTGCACACTGCCCTCCACACACACGTGGGCGAGGAAACCATTCCTTCCTTCATGCCATACACACACATACATATACAATCCCAAGCAGCCCATCGCTTATCGCCTGAAGCTTGGCACACACCCCACGGTGAT